ATGTAACCTCACCCAAAAGCTTAAGCTTTTGGGTTGAATTGGTTCTTTACAGCTTCTATGCATGTTTCCCACTACTTTTAGTATGGAAAATTATTAAATCTATTAATAATATTTGTTATTATGTCTATTGGATGAGAAAATATTTAATATTTCAAAATTCAAAATTCAAAATTTTTAAATTTGAATTTTTAACTTGATAAGTGGAAAACGAATTTCGCATTAATGTTTCTGTAGTGAAAAAATATATATATAGTAAAATTAAATTTAATATGTTAAATTATAGATTAAACAAAAAATTATTTAAATTTTTTTAAAAAATATGTATAGTTGATAAAAAAAATTTAAATTTGAAATTTAAATGAAAAAAATGAGAAATGACATATTTATACCTTAAATAAATTAAAAAAATAACTTTAAATAGTAATACAAAAAGAGAAAAACATTTCCACACAAGTATTTTTTTAACATAAACGTTTTAAATATATATGTATAACCAATATTAAAAAATATAAAAATTATAAATTAAAAGAGAAAAATTCAATTTTTCAAAAATATGTCTAATTAATACAAAAATATTCGCTTATATTAAATGCAATTCAATTCAATTCACCAAACATTCAATTCACAGTGAAAACAAAAAATAAAAAATGACATTTATCATTCTGTAAAAATAATAATAATAAAATTTAATCACTATAACAATACGAGTTTTAATTTAATATATAAGAAAAAATTAAACTTTCATTCTTTTGATGTAAGAGTAAAAAAAAACACAATTTTCTATGTCGTAAATGAAAACTAGAAATTATTACTTGGAGAATGTGCACATCCTTCTGTGCATGTTTTCCACTATTTTTTGTATGAAAAATTATTAAACCTATTAATAATATTAATTATATGTTTATTGGATGAAAAATTATTTAACATTTAAAATTTGAATTTTTTAAATTTGAATTTTGAACTTGATAAGTGAAAAAAGAGTTTATCTTCTGTAGCTTTGGGGTTGTTGGAGATAACTTTATCTCCTATAGTAAGAGAAATGATAGACCCATTATATTATAGGCTTAACCTGGCTTGTATTTAAAAATTAAATAGTTTGGCCTAGGCTTATTAACTTGTTTAACCCTTATCAAGCCTTTAATAAATATTAAAATTATATATAAAATTATTTTTTATTAATTAAAATTATATAATAATTTTAATTCAAATAAATAATACGATATAGATTGGCTTGTAGACTTATAGTTGTAGGTCAACTTTATAATTCTGTTTTCTAAACAAGTATTTTTTAAGGTCCAAGCCTATTCTATTTCATTAAATATTTTAAGTTAGGCCTATCTTAATCTTATGCTTTTCGTTAACAAGTATTTTTCTCAATCTTATGCTTTTCGTTAACTTATCGATTCAAAGCTAAACACTAGAAAATTTGAGAATGAAAAATTGGTGCGATACTGGTGTATGGGGCATGGTGATATTTGTTTAAAACCTAATTGCAACCTCCCCAGAATAAGGGCAACTAGAAACATGCCTCCATCAAGGACGAAGATCGTGCCATAAGGGAGGGTATTTTTGTCAACAAAATGTTGTGTGATTTTCCTAGCACATGAGAATCCAAGAAAACCACCCCCTTGGTGGTATTTTTCGGTGATATTTTGGTTTAGAAAATACACACAAAATGGATTTCCGAAAAAATCATTTTTTCGGAATTTTTTTAAAAATCTTCTACCAAATACGGTCTTCTTGAATTACCACCCTCAGTTTTTCGGGAATCTTAAAAAAAGTCGTGTATCAAAGGCCCGCTTACTCTCATTAGCTTAGATGGAATTGTTATCTCATTTATAATGATTTTACCTTAACTTATGTTTTCTTTCTTCATCTTTTTTGGACACAATATTAAATTAATTGCACAATATTTTTCAATTTTATTGAAAATTTATGTATTTAATTGTTTCTTAGAATGTCATCAAATATCTTTCAAAGTAGTCGTATAAAAAATTAAAAATAAAATATTGAAAAAGTCATAATTTTTTATTTTTTCGATATAAAAAAAGAATGGAGATTTACCTTAAAGCAAGAAAGACGATTTGATTTATGACTTTATCATTATAAAAAATAATTCAAGCCATTAAGATTAATTTAATGGTGAGAAATTTGGGTAATTTGTATTAAGTTATGTATTCAATTCTCACTATTGTATAAAATAAAATATGTTTACCCTTAAAACATATAGCAAAGAATTTTTTTTTTATCAATTACTGAAATAAAAATGTATTAAATGTTTTAAATTTTTCAAGATCTTAAATGCTTATATTTTTTGTTTAATAATTTTTTTAATCGTGATTCTTTAAAATATATCCTAAAAATACTTGTTAACAAAATCTTAAAAAAATGTATTTTAATAGATAATTTATAATACTTATTAAACATTACAAATTCCTGATATTTTAGAATATAGTGATAATTTTTAAAAATATATTTAACTATTAACTATAAACATAAATGTATTTTTCAAATTATGGTTACATGTCATCAAGTCTACCTACAAATAATATTAATTATTTATAACACTTAATACAATTTTATTGAAAACATCGTTATAAAATATTTTATTTTAATATCAAATATAATACAACAAATTTTAAGTAAATTTATTTACTTTGATTTTGTACATTTTAATAAAAAAATTTATAAATTAAAAAGTACGTAACACTATTTTTTTATAATAATTTGTTTGGTGAATAAGATAGAATTAAGAAGGATAGTAGCTATAAATTATTAAATATACCTTTAATTATTTATTTAAATATTAACGTGTCACTATATTGGTATTTTATATATTTTTGTCACCAAAAAGAAAAACTCTCGAAAGAAACAAAATAATTACTAGATTTTGTATAAAAATAAATGTGGTGGATGCCTAATTGGTGATAAAAAAAAAATTAAAGACATTAATATGTGGATATCGTAATTTTAAGGGTCACTTCAACGAGGTTATAAAGGGTTTACATTTACACTAAATTATTTTATTCATAGTTAATAATTATAGTTATTTAGTTTTTAAAGTGACTTATAATACTTTTTGTCAATACCAACACTTGAGTTTGGGATATTGCAACTGATAACTGTGGTGCAAAGCTTGAATTTTAGAGCATCGAGAAATTTTTGTTGTATTCCTTTTAATAAAAATTCCTCTTGATGTGGTGAACCTCTAAATTATCGTCGTTTCAATTTCTTTTTCCATTTTTTGGAGAATATCATTGGGTAAATATTACTTTCATTTCAGATAAGATAACTTCTTTCATGTTATCTCCTTCGATTTTCGCACCTCATCTTTTTCTTTTTTTATGCAATGATGAGATCCACCTATTTTCTTTCTACAACATAAGATAACTATCTTATACAAAAGGAGAGTTATAAAACCCATATCATAGTTTTAAGGGAAAACTTCAAAAATCCCCTGTAAATTTTTTCAGAATCACTTACCCCCCTCTCTGAATTTTTTAATCATTTATCCGCCTACTTAAAGTTTTTTTTTTATCATTTACCCCCATAGCTTGATTTTTCATCCAAAATTATAATTAACAGTGTTAATTTTTTTGTAAGATACCAAAACTACCCTTTAATTAAAAAACAAACAACATGTTGATTTTGTTTGTCATCAACTACGCTTCCGTTTGTCAATCTATTTTAATTACTTTTTTTTATCATATACAAAGTTGATATTGATGATAAACGAAAGCAAGCTATTTTTGTGTTGTGAATATTTTTTATCAATCTGTTTGTCAACACGTTTAATTACTTGATATTGAGCACTTAATGCAAGGTAAATGATATGGCCACAGCTCTCAACACATAAACACCGTTAACATTTTTTTTAATTAAAGGATATTTTTGGTATTTTATAAAACAATTAACATTGTTAACTGTAATTTTGGATGAAAAATCAAGTTAGGGGATAAATGATAAAAAAACGTTAAGTAGGGGGTAAATGATTAAAAATTTCGGGAATGGGGTAAGTGATTCTGAAGAAACTTACACGAGAGTTTTTGAAGTTTTCCCTAATTTTAAATTCTGAAAAGGGTTTGTGCTAGCCTCATAATTTGTACACGCTTCAATTCTATAAGCCTAATTTTATAAGGCTTTTAGGGTAAGGAGATATTTTACTAGATAAAATAATATAAAATTAGGGTTTCGATAGGAGAAAATTTTCTCATGCTGTAGACACATCTTATGTGAGGGCCACATCTACTAAAAAAACAAAAAAAAACAAAAGAAAATATTGAACGAAAATCAAAAGGTCACTAATAGAATAAAACAACTCTCCTACGACATGAGAAAATGTTTTCCCATAAAATTATATAAGTGTCTTAACCTAATTTGGTAGAATTAGTTGCATGATATGATATCATAGAATTTATGACCGAGTGCAAGTGGTTTAGATTTTAGAGTTCGATTATTTATTGGCACCCTCGTTCTTCTAATAAAAGTTTCAGCAATCAAAGACTTTTTGGTGTTTAGAGTTATTTATGACATATGTGCTTTGGCCTGCGATCTTTCTCCTGGATGCGTGCTAACCATAGCCTGCCACCCCTTTTGTCTCATAGCATGAAGCTATGTCTCTTTGGGTTTTGTTCACTCGCAACGTTTCTTTCATCAATGCATCGGGCAAGAAACAACTTGATTTTTCCAGTTTGCAATTTGAACATTTGCTGTCACCATGTTTCAACCTGAGGGGAACTGTTAGCCATAAGAATAAAGAAGTGAAAATCACATCCCATCATAGTAGGGATAAAACATCATATTAGGATAACTGATTGTGCTTTGTACCCTTATCTTATTTAATTAGTTATAGATATCACTTGTATTGCCTATTTATAAGCGCCTCCTAAAGGACACATACATAATGTTCTCTCGAAATATCTATTAAAAAATTTGTCAAAATTATTCACAAAACAAAATGTATATTTGCATTCAAAACTCAGATTATCAGTCTAGTCTTCATTTCATGTTATATGTTACAACCTGTCACTAACCTATACAAAAAAAAAAAAAAAAAAACCCCACCCAACTTGCATCGTTGGCAATCCAAGCTCAAGAAGGTTGCAAGTAAACAAAAGCACAACCATCATATATATATAAGATGTAAAATATGCGACAGAACTACTAATAGCCAGTAACCAGTTAGCCACCCGAGTAAACTTGTTAAGATTACTTAATGGTGGATAATATATGAATATACTGAGCTACTACTAGTACTGGTTTGAGCACCAAAGCTTAAAGTTGGGTTAAGGAGTTCTGCCTGTGGAAAAGAACTGTTAGATGGCACCTCTAGCAGCAGATCCTGATCAGAACTCTCCTCTACAAAGTTTAAGGAATCCCGAAGGAGGGAGCTAGCATCAGGAGGCAAAGCAAATAAGCTTTTTGGACTATAGCATGTGCCATCTTCTGCAGCTTCTTTGCCCTCACAGCCAGCCTTTGTGATCACACTTTTGGGACTCCTCATTATTGTCCTCAATTCTGAAATTTGCAAGATGAATGTTAAGAATAATTCCTCAGTTAAATCAGAAACAACAATGATAGCCAACACTCAGTTCTAACTAGTTAATTACTTTTGTATGCATAGTTCATTATGCTTAGCATAAGAACTTACAAGAAAGCAATTCTAAATTATTAATAAACTGTGCATAGTTATAGGTTATCATTCAACATTTAATAATTTTAAATAATAATCCAAAAGCATTTTACACCTGCAAGAAGTAATTTAAATTTACTCCCTCAATCCAAATCCCTGGTATGTACAAGGTGCACCCAACAATCATATCATTGTATTGTTGCATTAGGGAGAGGATAATTGGGATGTCTTAGCATATGATCTGTTTTTTGTCTTCTTTGATGTCAGATTTCCAGCTAACCTGGAAAGGTTTGATTTCGGTTGTCACGCATTCTCTTGCAATTTGCAACATTAATTGATGCTGTCCCAGTAGATCCCAGAGCACCAGATTTTCCAGCTCTGTGTTTACATCTCTGCATCCATAGAAGGATGTGATATCTGATAAGTATCATTGCACATATTTTTATTTATCAACACAATCTCTAATACCGGATAATAAACTATCACAAACCTTCAGAAAATTATAGTGTTCTACCCATTTTGATTTTGACAGATTGGACAATACAAGACTTTTCAAAGTCTTGCAGTCTTCAGGTTTTGGACCCAACAAAGAGATATCAAAGACACCTTCCGTGAGAAGCTGCTGAAAATAACTTAAGTTCTCCTTGAATTGAGAGCTATGGAACATGACTTTAAGGCTGCACATACAACAGAAATCGTCAACAGCGATGAACTCAATCTCAGCATCTTCTATTCCCTTAAGAGTCTCATATCTGATGCATTGTAGAGCATATCTTTTATAATTTCTATTTTTAAAAGAAAAACTGAAATACTCAAGCAATAACATGATTTTGAAATAAAAGATGGATAATTGAGTGCATTATTATTGAAATGGCTTTGATTTTCTTAGCAGTCGCCAATTATAGTTATAATGCATTTAGACTTGCTATCTATTCCTCAAAAAAACCAACAGATTTGAAACTTCTATATAAGAATTATAACTTACAAACAACATGGGAATTTGAAACAGTAATCTTGATCAATTGCAACAACTTGATGAATCTCAAATGAAAGTAGAATTCTAACCTATCAGGAAGTTTAGCAGTATCAACCACAGGAAGAAACTTCAGTAATTGCTGCTGCTCTTCATTTGTCAAGATTTTCAAAAACTCTTCATAGTTTACTACATCCTAACCAAACATAATAGCAATTATGTTAAGCATTTAACAATCTGATGGATTTGAGGCCTTACCTAACAATATATAATTATAAATATTATATAGTGCAAGACATGAATACAAGCTTAAAAAAACAATTGAGTGAATTATCTAAGAAAACAATGCTTGTTCTCAAGGCATTTTGAATCAAATTGCTATCCTGAAAGTTCTGAGTAATTACATGAACCAAGAATCCAATAAAAGATTCAAAAAATGATTATACAAATTATGTCAAATCACTGAAGTCTATCATTGATGTAAAACCATACCCATTTAGTTATTACAAGCCTGGATAAGAACATTCTTGTCAATTTAGGCTACAAAATGCAATCATAATAGGGAAAGGGGAATGCAACTCACATTTAAATCTATTAAGCGTAGTGGTGAATCATGACTTCCAAGGATTTGTACTCTTTCAAGCTGAAACTTGTCACTGAAATTTAAAAAAACAGACATTAATGACTGCATGGTATGTTTGTATTTTCTCCAAAGCTATTTCTGCACATTTATCTCAAATATTTCTTCACCAATGGTAACTAATAATACTCAAGCACAACTGACTAGAAATTATGAGACTAAGCATGCCTTTTAAGTTGATCCTGCTGCATTCCTTGGCCAGCAGAGTTTCTGACCTTTTGAACTCCTGGAGGTGAGGAGAAGTTCATGAGACTGGAATCATTATGCGTAAGAATGGCACCAGGATGCGAATATGCCTCACTAATTGAGCTTCGTTTATTCTCAACTGAAAGAGAGCTAGCCTCAGACTCTTCTTCACGAGCTATATAGCTAGGATGCCTAATGAGAACGCTTCCATGTCCAATCTCGACAGAGACCATTGGTGTTTCATTTTCAAAAAGAAGATCTTCTTCAGAAGATGCAGAAAAATAAGACTGTTGTTCATGAAGAATAGTGCATAAATCTTTAGTGAGCTTCTCAACAGAAGAAGGCTTTGGACGACCCACACATGTCCTCTTTTTTGAAGGAACCATGGCATCCCAGACCACTGACTGAGCAGGACCTAAATTAAACAAACTATTTACATTAGAATTACATGTCTTTTTATAAAGGAGAAAGGGTTACCTGTTTTGATATGCAGGAGTGTACATATTTAGTATCATAACACAAGAGTAGAAGTTCTTGATCGAAGTCAATTAATGATGAACTAAACCAATGAAGCCACATTCTATTATAAAAAAAAATGTATTATCTAATGAATATGTGTTAATTATACAATAAATAAAAAATAGATAATCCATATCTAATTATAGAACTTGCCAGTACAATTGTTTTAAGATATATCTGGAGTTTCATGGTAGAAAAACATTTAAATCACATTTTTTTGTCAGTGAAAAGCACACCCATATAAAATTAGAAGCAAAATTCACTTGTCTTCTTTTAGGAAAACCAATACAAAACTGTGCTGCCATTCCACAATTTATTTCATTTTCATTTCCCTCATTTCATTATCCACTTCTTGATTGTGCTAATGTAAATCTGGACTAACAATAAATCCGAACTATTTCAAAGGAATGGTGAATGCTGCTCTAATCAGTTATGAAGAAAGATCTTCCAGTAAAATCAGCATAGTAAACATCCAACCTGTAAGATCACTAGCATCCATGCCGCCAAATTGTGCACAACTCTCTGAGTTAGATATAGCTGATCCTGAACTCGATCTATTGCTTGTATCTTCATCTACAGCCTTTCGGAATCCCTGGTTGTAATCAGGTGCAAGCACTCCAGATACTACATTATCATGGTTCTGCTTTCGTTTGAGCAATTTCACTTCTTTGTTCTTATTTAATGATATGCTCTTTACCCTGGAAACCCTTTGGTCCTCATAATCATCAGTTTCTGCCCGAGCATGTAAAGGGGTATAATTTGCAAGGGTTCCCTTTGTCCTCCATCGAGAGCCACATGCATTGCATAGTACTGGCTTCTCTGGTGGTCCATTGCGCCAAAGTGGTGTGCCTGTTGCAATACTCAATTGTGAGAAATCTACAAGCATTTAACACCCTTATAAACAAGAACAAATCTGTTATCTTGGATTGGATAGACTAATAAGAACCACATATTCATATTTTCCTAATAATCCAATTCATGATGCATATAAAATATATAGTAAGTTTGGGCAAGGCATAACTTAAACTTCCTGGATTAAAATATTTTACAGTTGCTTGCTGTCTTCCATATACCAGAAAGATGAACTCAACATAAAAACTTCAAGGTTGAGACAGCATCATCTGTCAGTATTCACTTGCATAATGAACTAGCAATTCCTGCTACAATGTTGACTATTTGCCTGTTACTAACCGGCAAGTTTTAACTTCGATATATTTAAGATTAATGCATATCAATACCCTTTTGTGTTTCAAACAAGATATTGATCTAGAAACCTCAAGCAGTTAGTGGTAAGACTCAAACTAAGAACATTTGTAGACTAGTAGAGAAGACAATGATTGAATTTGAGCTGAAATGATTAACAGTAGCTGCTGAGTCTCACTCGATGCATCAAAGTTAAGACAGTCTAAATGAAAATTCTCTTCTTTTTGAGACTGAAATCATTGCACCCTATACAAAAAAGGATGGCACTAGAGTATTATTGAATAGCACGCAAGTAGCAATGACTTCAAGACTTGGAAGCTGCTTCGAAATTATCAGAAAAGCTATGAAAATCTTCAAGGCTTAAGTTGCAGGATTAGTTCTATTGAGGTGCTCGGTATCACGAACAAAAATAATAGTTTCAAATTGAGAAAGCTTGAAAAATATAATAATGAAGGGGCACAAGGATTGGTTTTTGATCAGCCAGAAAGCAAGGGAGTAAGACATGTCTGAGGGATGGATGCAATGATTGTCAAAGATCCTCTGATACAATGAGAAATTGTTTTGTAGAGGAAATGAAAACAACTTTGTAAATTACTTTCAAAAGAAAGGAATAGATTAACTTTGAGAAAATGCATCATTCCCTTCTCTTCTTTCCTCTCATTTATAAATTCACATTATCCAAATGGCAAGACATGAACTCTGAGCTTAATTTTGCACAAGTTACACTGGCTCAGATGTCAAACACAATCAAGGAAAACAAAGACCAGATAAGGAGTGAAATATATATATGTACGAGTGGGAAATAAACATAAGTTTCCGCAGCTTTCAATTCCAAATGCTTTAGGCAACAACACTACTTGAACTTTTGAATTCGTATACATCCAAAATATTACGCAGAGCACGCCTATTATGTCTTAGTTTTTATTGGCCAACAACTCTTCCTTCTACACATCTCAATTTGCAAAATACTCTTCACTAAAAAATAAAAACAAAAAAAGGTCACGAACTAAAAAAAAAAAATTAAAATTAAAAAAATCATAATTGGAGAAACAAGAACTCACTTGTAACTCCACAGTGATAGCAAGGCCCTTGCTTGCCCATGTCTCAATCTTTTCCACAAATTAATAAAAAAAAATATGGAGAAATTTGCAGAAAAATGAGAGAGAAATATATATTTTTTGTTTGGATAAAAATCTAAGAGAAATGGAATTTTTTTTTTAATATACAATAATTCTCTTGAAAAGTTTTTTATTTTTCCAGGAGAAAACTCAGAAAAATAGTTTGCAGAACAAAGCAAGAGCCAATAAACCCAGAAAAGTTTTGTCTTTTATAGTCCTTGAAAAAAGATTCACATAAACATCCACACACCAACTATAATTGAAGGGATTGATGTGTGAATTATAGATGGGACTCTGTGAAATCCTATGGAAGAGAGAAGACCATTGGAAGAATCTCAAAAATGGTTCTGAAAAAAGAGGAAAAGGAAGGTAGAATGGTGTGTGAGAGAGAGAATGAGAGAAAGTCTGTGTATGTGACCTCTTGTTGTATTGTATAGTAATAGTATAACAAGTAAATGTTTCAGTTTTTTTTTTTTTTCTTGCCTTTTCCCTTCTTTTTTATTTTTCCTTCTTCACCTTCTCCTGTTGATGTTATTTCAAAGATTTCAATTTTGAAATTTTGCTAAATTAAGAGGGAAGCTTATAATTATAAATTTATTATTTATAAATTTTTATAAACTATATTATATTTAACTAAAAACATACACTTAAGTAGACTATTATCGATCAGATATAATATAATTTATAAATTTATAAATAATCCTTCCCCAAATTAAAATTTTAAACTTTTACCTTATAATGGAAACAGAGGGGTAGGGGAATATTATTGCACATATCCTGTTGAGTGTTGACTATAGAGTTTTGTTCTTTACTTATCAGTTTTTTTTTTTTTTTTTTTGATAACATTACTTATCAGTTTTCAAATCCTCATCAAACCAAATCTAAAAAAGTATCCCATCTTCACCATCCATTTTTGGGTCTCAAAACAGTTATAGTTTTATAGTAACTCCTTAATTCTTAATATTTTTTAGAGAAAAGAAAAAAAGAAACTCAAAAAATAAAAAAAAAGGGAGAAAGAAACAAGGAGATGTTTTTGGCCTTTACCAATTCTTTTTTTCCTGCCATACTTTCTTTTTCTTTTTTTTATGAGATGAGAATACTAATTCATAATTTTATATTCTCCCATGTGTGATGACATGATGTTGATAAGTATTTAATGTGGTTTTTTGTTTTTATTTTTTAAATAATCCTGCTTGGATACCTAATGTGGTCACAAGCCCAGTTATCACCATTGGATTTAGGCAATAGAGGTTGACGTTGGGGTCCTACTTTTGTTGAGCAAAGCAAATTACTAAATACAAACATTAATTTTAAACGGCTTGATCTCAATCCAATGGTGATTAAGAAAGATTGTGAGATAGCCACATGAAGCTATAATATCATCCAAAGTAAAATGTCACCAATTTTCAACTTAGGGACTGTGAAAATGAAAAAGTCATATCCAAACCAAGAGATTGCATCGAAATTCTTTACTTTTTAAAACTTAAAAATTAAATTCTTGGAAGACAATATGACAAACAGTGTGTCCATGATACATAGTGGGTATCTCCTCAATTTGACTAATTTGGTGCCTTATAATTTTTCTTTTTTCTCTATACTTTGTATAAAAAAATATGGTCCAACACATCTCTCTAATGTTGTACTATAAGGACAGCTTGAGTAACTAAGGACATGATGGAGTTATTACTCTCTCTAAATTTTTTTAAAAATATATATCAAAAGACAGGTGTTTTTCTTCCAAAAAAAACCAATTGCTATACAAGTCATGCCATTTCTGAAAACTTTATCATATCAACGGCCAAGAAGCCCTAATGAAAGATAAATCGAATGGCTCAAAGTCATTGCAAAGAACACACCTTGCATTATTAAAAACTTTTGTTGGACCAATATTAAAACACATTTCCTTCACTTATAGTGCCCTTTAGGAACTTACAAATCACCAACTAGTCAGATCTTGCATCCAGAAAGTTAAATTCAACCATAGCTAACCCCTGCCTTTTTTTGTGCAATATAGCTGACCATTTTGCAGATAAAAAGTCTTTTCGTGCTAAGTTATCATTAAACTGTTTACTTAAAAAAATTATCATTAAACTGGTAATTTTGAAACAACTATAATATGATAAATTTTGTTTAATTTTTTAGTGTCTCTATAAGAATATTAAATTAATGATAATCGTTTAAAAATGTAAACCATCATAGTCTTTCTATTTTTCCAAAATGAATATGACACGTACAAAAGGCAGATGCCAAGACATGCACTAATTCACAAAATCATTTTTAAATTTGCATGCCAATGTAAAATCTTAAAATACTAATGAAGTGCATCAACAAAAGATATGTAACAACTATCTTTAGTGATATTATTTTAATTAATTACTATATCGATATCAAATAATTGTAATTGGTATTAATTAATATTACTAGAATTGATATGAAATATATCAATTATTTTTCACGATGTCATTTTAATAATTGATATAAATGATAATAATTACTAGGGGTATAAATGATTCACGTGACGTATCAGGTGCCTACAATCTAATTTATCTTAGGCCTGACATAACTTGCTATATTTTCTAAATAGACCAGATTTAAACTTATAGAAAAGTTCATTTAAAAATTAGGTCATATGCTCATTTTAAAAAAAAAAGTCTGTAAGGTACCCTTTAATTTAGATATATATATATATATATATATATATATATATATATATATATATATATATATATATATATATATTGAAATCATGATTTGTGACAGTAATTTTTAAGTAATAGGATTGATGTTATTTTATCAAATAATAAATATTTATTTAAAATTTGAAATTTAAAATTTAACATTTAAAATATAATATTAGATTAAATTAGTAAAAAAATTCAAATTATATATATATATATATATATATATATATATATATATATATATATATGTTTGCCTGTGCTTGTGCGTGCGTATTATTTGTTACATTTTGTACAAAAAAAATTTCAATGACTTCAAATATGGATTTAAGATTTTATTTCTTGGAACAGATTTTACTTTGCCTTAAAATTTTAGGAGTAAATAAATCTTATGTTGTAGGAATAGTCATCTCTCATGTTAGTGAGAGCTCGATTTTCGTGTTAATATTTTCTTTTATTTTCCTTTTTTATTTAAACTAGTGGGCCCACTTAATTGTGTGTAGGAGAAAAGCTCCTCTCATGTTGCATGAGAAAATGCAACCCAAAATTTTATCACTTATCATGTATAATTGGTTATTACTTTTTAAAAAAATAAGTAATTATTTTTCAAGAAGATAATGTTTGAGTGACACAAAAAGTAAAAATAATCAATTAAAGCATGAAAAAATAAGAATAATGCTCAGTAAAAGATTATGAAGGTTGCCAATAACAAATAAAAAACTCATAAAAATATTATTTCATGTGTTATTATGAACATTATTTAAGGATCATTGTGATTTTGTTAAAAAACTGTTTGAGAATTTTTAATGAAATTTCATGTGATCTTTGTGAATAATAAATTTTAAGAACATTGTTTAGTGAAATTTTCATATAATCTTTATGAACATTATTCTATGTGTTGTTAATAAAAATATTATTTCATATGAACTTTATGAATAAATTATTTTATCTTTTATATTTCAGTTTGGTTTGGATATATAAATTTTAGTTTGCAACTCGGTAAATCTTACCGATCGTGTTAGGCTTTTTAATTTTTTATAATAGATGAGACTAGATATATAAATTAAATCTTTAATAAGTTAATAGGTCAATATAAACTTTAAATATTTTATATAGACTTAAATTAGCAAAGTCAAAGCATATCTCATTTACATCCCTATTCATTACAATATAATCCATACATTAAGTTGATTCCACCACTTTTGTTTTTCACAATGGTTAGGTTAACACAGCATCACTAACTGATAAACTTAGTTTTAGGAAAACAAAAAACTAAATGCGTTAAGACTTAAGAGACAGAGTCAGGTTCATTGGTGGATTACTGTCAAAGCTAAATTATGTTTTAGATTTATGAGGGTTTGTTTTTCATTTTTTAGAAAATAAAATGCAAATATAGAAACATAACAGCAAGGTTCAGAGGCTAGGTGGGTCCTATTATGTTATTGTAGAGCTTCCCTACTTTTATATATTTTTTATTTGTTTCCTAAAAAAGGTGGTTATAGTGTGTGAGTTCTTTCGGTAACATCGGTACTTTGAGTGGATGTTCCATGTGGTTATAAAGTTATAATAAGATGTTATAGCCCAGTATTAAAACTATAATGCAGTTTTGCTGTCAATTAATAAATCCTAAATTATTATATAGATGGCTTTCATTCAATGTTTATATTTGCATTCTCTTCCTTATTTATTCATTTATTTAAGTGTCACAGTCTTTATATCTCTGGCACGGAAAAATCTACTTCATCCATCTCCAACTAAAATAAAAAACTCAAAAACAATATTTCAACAAATTCAAATATATGTAACCGAACAACTATTAAGTTTATTATTCTTATAGAATCATTGTGGGACCGATTAACTTTGGCTCACGTGTACTGCAAAAGTGGCAAGGTGCAAATCGGATTCATGTGCCGAGGTGTAGAAAGTTGTGTGTCGTATTATTTGGTGGAATAAAAGTAAGAGAGGAGAAGCCGTCTTAGTTAATAGAAACGGGTGTATGAGATGAGAAGAAACAAACCAACCCAATCTCCGGAATAACCAATGACTATTTTTCTTTTTTCTTTCACTTATATTCTCAGCCACTCCCTCACCTAAATGCCTGCTACCCCAGTTACTAACCCCGCACATGTTAACACTATGTTGTGTCATTCATTTTACATATTTTTAAAATAAGATTTATAGATCTGAAAGTTTGATTAAATTTTATTTTCATCTCTAAAAATTAAAACATTTAATGTATCAGAAATTTTAAAAGTAATTTTATCATCGATTTTGAATAATTATATAATCATTTTAATTATAAACGGGAAAGAATAACACACTTGATTAATCTTGCCACCAAATTAACTCATTGTTGGGCTTCCTCTTTCCATGCTAAGCCCAAGCCCATTTGAGGGGTTTCCTAAAAATCCTAACCCTAATTTTCACCTCCTCTATATATACTCATTAGTTGAGGGTGGAGGCTAGGTCAGATTTGAGAGAACAAATTTGAGAGAAAAATTATTTGATTGTTTGAGCATAGCTTTATGCTTTGCATTTGAGAGATCTCTAGAGAGAGTTTGAGTGAAACATCTCTAGGGTAGTTTGATTATCACCATTGTTGGAGAGGTTGAGTTAACCACCACATTGGTGTATTTGATTCTTTGTAATCATTATTTTCATAGTGGATTTTTTGATCTGGACTA